ACAACTCAAAGTACACGTCAAATAAAATTTCTCCAAACATGTTTCTTGTTATTTTAGGTAGTTATTATCACGCTAATGTATGTTCAAGTGTTCATTTCCCCCGATAAGTTGGTTTTAATTCGTTATTTGATTCTATAAACACAGTCTGACCATCTCGAGCTTTTATTTTGGTACTTCCGGTGACCGGCAGTGTGAATTTGCATATTAGCTAAATATTTAGTTTCACCCAGAACATTTAGATTTAACATTTAACATTTAGATTTATATTTAGCATTTAGATTTAACATTTAGATTTAGATTTAGATTTAACATTTAGATTTATATTTAGCATTTAGATTTAACATTTAGATTTATATTTATATTTAGCATTTAGATTTAGATTTAATATTTAGATTTAACATTTAACATTTAGGTGCCACATTTAATATTTAGATTTAACTATTTAATATATTTCTAAGTTAACAAATATTGCTGTAAATGTGGTAAAAGGTGACGTTAAAAAATTCACAATACTTTTTTAAACATTGTTTGAAGCTAAATGTGGCAAAATTTTGATGTTATTTTCAGCGTGAGCCACTTTACAAACGGAACCCCATAGACAGACAATTTGCCAAAGTAATTTGACGCGTTCAGGTGTTAATGATGTGTACATGCACTATGTGTGTGGGGGATTCACAAGCACACGGAAGTGTAATGTATGTGTGGCGTTTGTAATGCGCTGTGCACGCGTACTGATAAGACGTGTGAGCGCATCATGTGAGTGGAGCGCACAACGCCTGCGCGTCATGTAGCGGGCGTGTGTTTAACACTCGTGTCTCCATAGTAACCCTATGTAAAATGTAGGCGTGCGCTCACGCGGTTTGATTAGATCTGATGTGTCCTAAGTAGGCGCAAGTGACGCGTTGTAGTGTGGTTGGGTGAAACGTTTGACCCCTCATAGTGTGTGTGTGTGTGTGTGTGTGTGTGTGTGTAAACCTTTCAGTTTCTGCTCCAGGTATTCCAGGATGATCTGGACCAGCTGGGCAACTGAAAGAATTAGAGCTCCGAATGCCAAAGACCCTGTGTGATACCTGAAGATAGACAGAGGAGACACAACACTGTTTGTTATAATTGCTAACTTTTGGTTTAAAGATAAAACACCACAAATTTTTCATGATTGCATACAATCTGACAAATGATGAATCCCAGGCTTGGTCTGGGTTTGTCCTGACCTGACAGTCCTGCTGAATGATGAAAAGAGTGGACATGGTGGAATATCCTGAGGCTTCCTCCTGGCCCAGTAGTAGCTAGCAAATGTCCCAGCAAGGGTGCACTGCTCCAGAGCCAAGCTAAAGTTGACCAGCCAGAAGAAAACCAGCAGGTTGAACAGCTGCAGCAGGAAGAGGTAGCGGTGGTAGGATGTCTCTCCACCATAGAAGGCAAACAGACACTGAGAATCCAGACATAATGCTGATTTGGAGATGTTGGTTTTGTTGAAGGTCTGACAGAGACATGAGGGGGAGACCAGAGGAGACTCTTTAAGTAGATTTGTACAATTTGTGCAATATGGCCATTCCAAGTACAAGCCCTGTCTTGATCAACAGAGGGAAGCATCTCAGTTGCCCAAAATCAAAGCTGCAAGTGGCAGAGTGCATTTCAAGTTTCATAAAACACTTCAGCTCATTTGATTTTACCAATCATATACTTGCTTTCAATCAATCAATCAATCAATCAATCAATTTTATTTATAAAGCCCAATATCACAAATCCCAATTTGCCTGAGGGCTTTACAGCATATAATAGTGTCTTTAGGACCCTCGCAGCGGATAAGGAAAAACTCCCCCCCAAAAAAACCTTTGTCGTACAGAACAGATCAACATGAGAAATGAACAGTAATCCGTATACAAAATGATACAGAAAGAGAGGCTTTATCATAACAATGATGCAGTAGTTTGGTGACTGTACACACAAAGATAATTTGCTTCCCCTTTATCAACAGGTACTGGCATGTATGTGCCAGATGTCTCCACAGGATTGCTTTGGGAATATTTGACATGTGGACTATTTCCTGCTAATACCTGCCTTTTGCAAAGTTTTGATTATTAGTTGCAATGTTTTTCTAACAACCTTGCCCATTTATAATAGAAATGAGTCAAAAAAAGAGTTGGAATCCAAAGAAAAGGCATTTTTGTCAAGCATATTGAACTGTAGATGTGTGTCAAATTATAAGTCAATAAGACTAACAGTGTGAGGGGCTTAGATTTTCAAAGTTTTCACTTTTTCTGCTGTTCATTAAAGCGCCACCAGGAGATTGATTTGGACCAAATTTGAAATGAAACATTAGGACAGCAAATTGAACAAAGGCATAATATAATCGATTGGACTCATGGTGTGAGGGGCATTGCATTTTGAAAACTACAGTGTTTCTTTACAGACTCAAACAGTTCTATGAGTCCTCAGTATATATGTTCATGAGCACATCACTTTGGGGGATATAAGTGTACTGTATGACTGTCATAAATACAAAAAGCAGAAAGATAAATGGATGACATTGAAGAAAATATTGTACCTTGGGGTTGCAGGTACTGTTGGCATAGGGGCAGCTCACATCAGGAGACATCACTTTGTAGATCGCTTCACCTGAGGATGCTAGATGACTGGTTTCACATTGCTGGTTAAAGACACATATTCATCTGAATACAGAAAAGTTTCACAAATATACATTTTAACATGTGCAAGACTTCTTCAAATGAATCTTTCAGCTATGAACTACAAGAATTTAACAAACATGTTATATTCCTCTTTCCATTCTTCCTGTTGTCGCTTGTGACCACTGCGAAGGATACACAGCAGTAACCGCCCAGTAGGAGATGCAAACAGCCAACAAGAGAAAAGTAATGACTGGAAAGAACAGTGTGGACATGATGTGTCCGATTGCTCTGCAACAACAGAGGAACCATGAGGCCAGGGAAATAATCATCATCATACAGTATATTTTCTTTTAATCACATCATTTGAAAAGACATTCACACATCTGATTATTGTGATCCATCTTTACTGTCTTAAGTTCATACTTGCTGGCCTCTCTGAGCAGGGCGATTGCCACTCGCACTCTTTTCCTTAAGAAGATCAACATCAAAAAGATGGAAGCTTCTGTCACTCCGAGAGACACCACTGACAAACACAAACATCACAGTTTAACTTTTTAGATTTTTAGGGCAAAGTTGGTTGCATTGTTTCATTTGTCACATTTTTGCTTTTGCTCCCCCAAACATTCAGTTGTGCCAAAATGTCTGATTCCCCTCAAAATGTTTGTCATCCTTGGCATAATTCCTACAATTCCCTTGACAAGTAAACCAGCAGGAATACAGCATTTATTAATAACCACTTTGTTGAATTAACTCCATACAGATGAATATAATTTGATATTCTATTGGACATGCAAAATAAGGATTTGCATGGCAGAGAATTTTCTCATCACATCACAGCCATTGTTTAAAAAAAATCAACTGTTTAATACCATTAGTACACAAGTTACAAAAATATTATCTGATGGACAAATGAGGCATGATGCATTAACAACTGTCTGACAGGTACTACTGAAATCAAAATGCCAAAACATTCAATGCAAAAAGGACTGAGTCCTTTTTCTGTTGGTCCACTTTTTGGTTCACCTTGACGGGAGTGAATCTGGTTCCTCTAAAAAGCACTATATGTGAAAACAGCCAAAGTCTCAAGCTTGTCATTTCATCAAATATGAAGTCTGGAGCTGCTCCAACTAGAAAAGTGCCCTCAGTAGAGTGCTGATCGCCAGGTGGCTGGCTGGGCTGATGGGCACTCTAGACAATTCTTTTCAGCTGACTCACTGCAGTACTTCAGAAGTGTCCCAGAAGCTAATAAAAATGCACACCTCCTGTATTTCTTGACAGAGCTGCAGCAAGTTGCACAGAGCAGAACAAGTGTTCCTGCTAACTTGCACTGTATGTGAAATATAGATGTAATGTTATTATGAGGATGAGTGTATTTTTAATGACTAAAACAAAATTACAAATCTTTAATCCATGTCATTTAAAACAGTACTTTGAACAGATTTAGCGTTGTCTGGATGATTCAGCACAACATAGAACATTAAAACAGACAAAAAAAGAACAATTTAACCACATAGCCTGCTTACATAGTAATGGTTGATGCACAAATCAACAAAATCTGCACATATACAAAATCTGCCCAGTTTTGTATATGTGCAGATTTTGTTGATTTGTGCATCAACGTAATCTGCCCAGTTTTGTATATGTGCAGATTTTGTTGATGCACAAATCAACAAAATCTGCACATATACAAAACTGGGCAGGCGAAACACTCTGCTGAAATGCTCCCTGTTTGGTATGACGCCGTGCTGCAGACAAAACTGGGTCACAGCTGCACACAGTGGAATTATCCCTCCTGGCTCCCTTACAGTCAAGATGCACGTGAAAATAACAAAAACGAGGACTTATTTATCTCGTATCGTGCCTAATTTAAGGATCATGACACGTGGAATTAATCTGCAGATGCTCCAGTTAAAGATAAGACCAAACTTTTCTATGGATGTCAGTGAATAAAACAGATTTCTCAACAATTATGGATCACTGCAACCAGAAGAAGTCTTTGAGCAAGCAGTCATAAATGTGCACACAAAATATGAGACTGATTGGTCCAGTAGTTTATGAGATTAGCTGCTGACAGACGGATACACACGCTCACATAAGCACACGTGCGCGCACACACACACACACACACACACACACACACACCCAAATGAGCTTTATTCTATTGTAGTGTTCTAATTCATGAAACAGAAAACGTAACCATATAGTCAGAACATTCCCCTGGGTGCTCCAAGTGTCATCTAGAACATCTTTCCCAATTTCCTGACTGCGCAGCTCCGGAATTGTTACCCTATGACATCACAAAGTAGAGTTTGAGGAATCTATTATTTAGATTTGGGAGAGAGTTGTTCCTTTTTTGTTATATTTTGGCCAGTTTTATACTGTAGAAAATGCATGTAGACATTTTTTTAATGGACACAGTTCCCCTCTAAGTATGTTCTATCCAACATCTGTTGAAACTGTCAATGTGTAGGAAGGCAGGTTACACTGATGAGACCAATAGAAATGTGGTCCTCTACTAAATGTGCACTATCCTTCACAGAGAGAGCACATACAGTTCCTAAAGGGATAGTGCACCCAAAAATGAAAATTCAGCCATTATCTACTCACCCTCACGCCGAGGGAGGCTCTAGTGAAGTTTTAGAGTCCTCGCATCACTTGCGGAGATCGGCGGGGGGAGCGGCTAGCACACCTAATGGCTGACGGTGACCCAGACTAAAACGTCCAAGAACACAAAATTGAAACCACAAAATATCTCCAACATGCTCGTCCTTAGTGATCCAAGTGTCTTGCAGCCCCGACATAAAAAGTTGTTTTCGAAAAATGTCATTTGAACTCTGTTTTTAGCCTCACTGTAGCCTGTAGCTCTGACTTCTTCTTCTCTGTGCTCCGTCTCTGTGCTGCGCGTCGGGGTTCTATTCCCCTGTCGGGAGTTATTTTCCCAGTATTCACCGGCTCATTATACATTATCCCGCTTATTACACGGCTAATTATCAGTTAAATAAATAATGTTGTCTGCCTCTGCGAAGTGCATTAAAACCGACCGGATTCAACAACTTTTGGTGAAAGTTTTGTACTCACCCAGGCTTAGTGGACTGAACCGAGGCATAAAACTCGTGTAAAATGTCATTAAGCATGACTGCCGAGTGTGTATTCAAATCCGTCTTCTTTTGTTTTTGGCAGAGAAAGTCCGTAGGTATTCTTTTTCTTCAGCGGCAGCCGTTAAAATCAGCCACTTCTGTTTGTTTTTTTCCCTCGGAAGTTGTTTGACAGCTGCAGTGTTGCAGGGCAGCATCCCTAGCAACGCTGGGCTACATAGCAACTGTGTGTAATGACCGTTGCTACTAGCAGCGGTCATTACACAGTAATATCAGACCGCAGAATGCCGCTACTGACCAATCAGAATACAGCATTTAATAGAGCTGTGTAATAAATGTATATATATATATATATATATATAGTCTTTTCAAAAAGAAACTTTAATGATATAATATCATAGCATAAACATTGTAGATATTACGGCTGGGTTAACAGAATTGATTTGATCAATTTGAATCAATTGTCCTTCAAATGGTCTATCGGTTCATAAAATCCAAAAGCTGATCCTTAAATGTAACTGTCTTTTCTTCCGTGGATGTATGTCACACCTTGTAGCAGCCTGCAGTTTCACTACCTCCTTTGTTTCATGTGATCGGCATCTATTTTTCATGGCACAAGATCTCACCAGATGTAATTGGGACCTTGTTAATAGAATTGACTTGGAATCAATACCCAGCCCTTATAGATATACTCTGTATTCAAATAGATGGCAACAGGTTTGAAACTTTAAACTCAAATAAGTATGGCATTCAGATTTTCATGTTAGGTTAGCAATAAAATAAAAGTCTGTCTTTGGTTTACCATTTGTGCTTTCAGTTCAAAAGCTGTGGGCTGCTAATGATCAGGGCCAGGTGGAAGCGGTTGTTGGCCCATTCAAGCTGTACGACACATCATTTCGTACACTGCATGGGACTGCATGGCTGGCTGATGATGTAAGAAAGTAAACAACAGTGTTGATAAAAGCTCTGAAAGAGATACATGGTATAAAAATTTTTTTTTTTTCTTTGGTTTGCATTGCAGGTTATTGATGCATACTTGCACAGTTTCATTGAAAAAAAAGAAGGCAAGTTTGAATAATTTCTGTTGCTCTAACATTGGAGTGCCTTTCTTTCTGAACTGTTTAACTTAATATAGCCTTTGGATTTATGACTTACAAAGGCATGAGATTTGAATTATTGCATTCATTTAATATTGTTTCCGTCGGATTCAATCCATATGTTTTTTCTTTCTAAGTCTTTGCCCTGTAAATTTACAATTTTAGGACTTAAATTCCTCCAGTGTCCTGCTGTGTTTGCATTCTGGCTGAATGCACCACGGTATTCATTTCGGACTGAATCTCCACAACAGCTAAAAACTTTTTGTGTTTGACAGAAACCTATTCACTTGCTGACTTCCACTGTGTCCACGTCATTGTTTTCGGAACAATTCGGCCCCCCTCAATAAGGTAATTAATTTGTCACAGTTATTATATTGATGTATTGAATGTAAAAAATAAATTAACGATAACTTGGTATTGAATCGATTCCCCAGATGAAGATTCCAGTGGAGGACATCTGGATGTGCCCTGTGAATGTTGGGGCTCACTGGATTTTAGTGGTTTGTTTAAACCTCTTTGTTGTTATGCTGTGGAATATTTCATGGTTCAGGATCATGTGTGCTGATAATTCAGTTGACCTCCAACGGAATCACAAGGCTCCTTGTCAGTTTGGATAAAATTATCTGCTGAATAAATATACATGAATATCCCAAACTCTGACTCTTCTAGCGTAACATACACACTCCATACACACATTCTCGTTTACAATACCAAGCGGGCACCCCCTCCCCTCTCTGCTCCACCAATCTCCAGCCCGCACACTGACAGCGTAGCCTGTAAACAGAGCTCAGCTGTTTATTTAGCCTAGCAATATCTCCGGACTATAGTAGCTGCAATGGACGACTTTGAACATGATTTTGAAGAGTTTCTTGTCGCGGACACAGACCCAGAGCCATACCTGTTTGAGCCAGAGCATACAAATGAGGAACTTAGATGCTGAGCGGGCGAGAAGAGAGGCTGAATCCTCCTCTCCCATTTTGCTGCACAGAATGGGATTCAGTGCTACCATCGTTGGGGAGATATATCGTCAGGAGGAAAAGCACCGCAGAGAGTGCATCACAAGGAGTGAAGTTGCGTCTTATTTTCCTCGCAGATGACGGTTCGGGTTCATTCTCTCCTGTTGCGTGGTAAGTGTGGTCCATTCGCAAACTTTATAACTAAAAAAACTTTTCACTACTCTCTATCTACGAACTATTAACACTCTCTGCTGTTTCTTCCTCCTTCTTCCTTCCTCCCGCTGTCTTCGTTGGTTTATTTATACACGCGAAACGCGTTCTCTGGCTGGCTGGATTGTCCGCTCAGTCTGCCGTACATACATGGCGCACAAGATG